TGAGCACACATCCTGTGGATCTCTTTCCTACTCTGCATATACATGTAGTTTGGGAAGTTCCAAGAATTTCAGTAGGCAGCTCCAGAATTCAAACCAAGGGCAAGGGTCTTAGGGGACCTTACAAGGGTCTGGATTCATTTTCATTTTCAAGCCTGCTTGCTACTTTCTCTTACCACATCAGCTGTACTAAATAATCAGTCAATTGCCTGCTAATGGAACTATTTTTTATTTTTATTATTTTTTTTTTTCTGGCAAGTTTAACCATATTTACAGGTAGCAGGAATCAGTAGCCTCCTGGAAGGAAACCAGCTGGTCCAGGGAATTCCAGTTAATTAACTGAATGAAGAAAAATCACCATGGATTATCAGACACGGTAGATTTTGGAGCAGAGGTTAGTCATGGAATAAAATACATTTACAAGTTTTCTTTAAAGACTCTTTCTGACTTGGGCTTTGCCATTCTACTTGACATTAAAATCCACTCTGCATAAACACTTCTACATAGGTCACATTTTAATTACAGAAACACATTTGATACTCATTGAGGAAACCATATAATCATTGTGTCTTACTGGCTGACGTATGATGTTATATTCCACAGAACAATCAATCCAGTACAGGAACAGGGCACAATGACAAATATCAAAGGTCTAACACATCTTCTCATGCAGATAGCAATGGGGACCTTACACTGCACTGCATTACATGCTTTATTAAAGAAAAGTTGCATCTGCTGTAGATCGTCTTTATTATCCTTTGCTTTCTCAAAATGACGTTCTGCAGAGATTGAAAAATCAACCACTCAAATATCAACTTTATTAATATTATGTTTTAATTAATGATATTATATTGAAAAAGAACTCCACATACTTTTCAAGTCATTTTGATTATCTTTTATAGAGGAATAGAACTTTCACAAGACTTGACAGCTGTGAAAAGCAATAAAATAAAAGGACGTTTCTCAATATATTACCTTCAACTTTGCTGCTAAAAGAAACATTTAAATTAGAGAACTCTTGAGCCATCAGACATAAGGATGTTACTCGTTTAGTAATTTTCTGAAGAAAGTTTCCTTTCTGTTTTGGAAACACAGGCTTTTATATATTAGTACCAGAATTCAGTAGAAAGCCATTAATTACCTTACAATGTCTTGCTTTCCTGCCTGCACAGACTTTGTTTCTCTTAATTATCTCAGTCTTTTTTTATTATTATTTTATTTGTTTTGAAGCAATTACCCTTTCATCTTCAAGACTGTTATCCTCCACATGTGTCTCTGGAAAAACCCATCTACTCACATCAAAATCAACAGAAATTTTGACACACTTTCATGTCATTTTGAGCTTTTGTTTTTGTTGTTTTATTCTACATTTTTTGTCTCACATTACTTTTTCTCCCCCCATGGCTCCTTTACCCTTTACTCTGTTGTTAAGTCTTCTGAACAGCTTCTCATTGCTTAGCAAATGCTCTACTGGTGCACTTTATTTTTGACATTACTGAGTCTCTAGGTTTTCTTTTCCCATTGTATTGTAAATAATTGTGAATCCATAGAGTTCACTTTCTGAGATGAAAAAATACCTCTCTTGCACAGCCTAGGGTTCATCTGTCAGGAAGAGACCAGAAAATATGTGCATAGTGTGCTCAAGATGAAAAAAAAAAAAAAAAATGTGTGTGATCTGGTTAAGTTGTTCATTCCTCAGTTATACCGATGTTCCAGGGTTGAAAATAAACACTTGCATTTAGAAGCCTACATTTAGAAGCCTGAGCCTACAGCCTCAAGCTTTACTTTAATTAAATAAAGGCTGCTCTTGTAATTTGTTTCCACTCTGGAAAATGTTTTATTTGTCAAAAAATGCAGGAAAATGTATTAATATGTGCCATTCTGCAAGGGTAGCTTGCAGTATATTTCCATTCATTGGTTAACATGAGTGCTGTCATTTTGCTGGGGAATGAACTTTTCCAGCTTTTCATACAAATAAGCCAAGAGTGAAAAGAAAATAGTTGGAAAAATAAAGTGTCATAACAGAGAATGATGATACATGGCCTGAAGAGATCAAAATATGGACTAACATTCAAAGGAGTTGCAATTAGCTGAACTTAATCGCTGCATGAGAGCACCAGCCATCAGCCTTGTGTTAATAATATTGGTTTTCAACCACCGTCAGGAACGGGAATTTTAGCTTATTATTTTAATCGAATAGATAAATTGTGCAGAATAACCCTTTACATTTTTTATGGTATTAAAATATATAGCAGCATTAAAATAATGTATGCATTAGCCTATTACATGCCGTCCTTTCCTCTGTTTGAATACTGATAAACTTGGAGCACTATAGGAATTTCAGGTGTTTCAGAATTATAGAAAAAAAAAATGCTTTGTTCTCAGTTTCATCAGTTTGTATATAACCCAGGAGGAAAAAAGCAAAAAAAAAAAAAAAAATCATTGTTTTGGCTTGGATAGAGTTAATTTTTTGCATTGAGGCTTTTATGATGTTGTGTTTGGGATTTTTTTGATGAAAATAGTGGATAACAAAAACACTGATGTTTTTGTTGTTGTAGAGTAGCACTTGCACAGAGCCAAGGACTTTTCAGCTTCTCCTGCTGCCCTGTCAGCGAAGGGCTGGGGGTGCACCAGGAGCTGGGAGGGAACTGAACCAGGACAGCTGCCCCTGGCTGGCCAAAGGGATGTCCCATTCTGTGTGGTGTCGTGCTCAACAATAAAGCTGGGATAAAGAAGGAGGAAGGGGGGAACATTCAGAGTGATAGTTTTCATATTCCCAGGAAAATGTTTTGTGTGCTGAGCCCTGCTATCCTGGAAGCGGCTGAGCACCTGCCTGCTGATGGGAAGTAATGAATAAATTCCTTGTTTGGCTTTGCTTGTGTGCATGGCTTTTGCTTTACCTAGTAAACTGTCTTTATCTCAACCCATGAATTCCCACACTTCTACCTTTCTGATTCTCTCCTGCATCCCACCTGGGGAGAGTGAATGAGCATGTATGGTATGTAGCTGTCTGCCAGGGCCAAACAACAACAAAAAAAAATCATGCTTAAATACTTCGGGTTAGCCCTGCATATAAAACCTGCATGCCTAGTTTGTTACTGCAGTCCCAAAATCTACTCTATCAAGATGTCTTTATACAACCTGATGACAAGTTTCTCTTGTAATGTTGTACTGGTAGTACGGAAGTGCTTTAAATTAAAAACGAGTAAAAAATGGATTTTTATTTATAAGAAAGACACTTTGATTATGAAGACAGTAACTTAAATATCATGAGGAAGCATTTGATGAATATGTATACTGGAGTTAAAATAAAACAGTGTCTGTGATGCCTTTTGGAGCTGGTCCTCTAGAGACTACTGCTGTGGTTGTTGTTTATCTTGTTTCTTACAGACAAGGCATATCAGAATCCTCTCGTGCTCTCAGAAATCATTTTGATGATAGCAGTGAAGACAGCTAACTTGTAGGACACTCTGGTTGGACACTTTGCTTCCAGAAGAGAGAAAAAGGATGAAAGCTGAATCCTAGGACAATGAAACTCTTGCATTTTGAACAGCCACACAGCATGAGACAAACTCCTCAAATCATTTTTAGAGAAAGAAAGATTTACCTAGAAATGCTCTTCCACAGTATGAGGATCATAGGTCTTCTTGAAGAAGAAAAGTGAAATTTCAACAAAGCATCTTGGAACCATCTTCAATATAAGAACAGGCAAACATCAGTTAGATTTTTGCAGACTACTCTGTAACTTAATGAACTTTAGGAAAAATACATACATCCTTGCTGAGTTTTTCTGAATGACATATAAAAGATTTGAAAGGATGCTATGTCTCAAGAATACAAACTTAAAATACTGCCTTGTAAGGAAATGCACTTTGTTTCACAATATAAACATGTCACCAGTTCCTACTTTTAACCTAAACATACAAGTGGATATACAGAGCATCTCATCATTGAGGTATAATATCCCAGTTTAACATTTGGGGTATTTTCTGGTACTGCCTGCTTCTGAAGTCACTTGAGTAACCTCAGTCTCCATTTTGTCTTCTAGAGTTCATGGTTGCAAAGAAAACCAGGAAAATTCTTGAACGGTTAAACAGGAAGAGAAAAAAAAAAAAAAAAAAAGTATTTATTATTTTAAGTCATCATTTTTAAGACAACCTTAAAATGGTTCGGATTCTGATATATGGTTTCTGAATATCTCTCTAAGTAGATTCTGGGGTTTAAACAAACATTCACATGACAATAGGCAACGGTGATTTAAGATGTTATCACTCCTCTCTTTCATCTGTTTTATTCCAGCAAGGCAGTAGACAGTAGCAGAGATATATGACTCCTCCTTAGTAAAGTCAAACATCTCAGAGGCCACTAGATTTTGCAAATAAATGATTGACAAGAGCTCACATAGCGACAGACTGGCTACCAGAGCAATATGCTGCAGGGTCAGAAAACACCTCCCTTTGCTGTGTTGGTGTGGTTGTAAATTCAGGGACAAGCATGAAACATGCACAGAAATCAAAGCACGATATCAGAATTTGCGTGAGGTTTGTTTATCCTGGCACTGACCTGCTCATCATTAGGTGCTTAAGGGTATACTAAACACTATTCAGAACACAGCTTACATCTGAGAACATTGTAGATATATATGCTCCTCTGGCTAGTGAGATTCTTGTTTAACACTGTGTACTGTACTATCATAGCTACATGGCAGGAGACAAGCCTGAATCTCTGAATGCACATAAGAGAAGCAGTGGAAATTTTAGCATCTGAACCTGCGCTGAGCGGTTTCACTGTCCTCAGCTGCAGTTCAGTGATGGACAACACTGCTGTTTCTGCTACCACAAAGGTATTTTTTAATTTTGTTCCAAGAAATCACTGACTGAGTGACCTGGAAAAGTTTATTAGAAAGCATTTAATTCCTCCTTTGTGTTTTATATTGCCATTTTCAGTCAGCTTGGTAAGGTTGATTCCCATTGCAGCAGGACAGATAGATTGACATACACGATAGGATCCAACAACTGCATACAGCGAGCATAGGAAACACTTTGCCGATATCAGCATGTCTTCAGTGTCACTGCCATAAGCTTCCGTGACTTACTCTGTTTTAAAGTGTTTCCTATGAATGTAATGAACTGTAATGATGATTAATAAAGTTGGACTCCTAATTGTGACCATCTAAAGTCAGACATCTGGTCTAAAGTCGTAGACCACACCTGTCTCTACACCTGTGCTCTCTACACCTCTCTACACCTGTGCTCTCTACATTCAATAAAATTAACTCTGAAAGCAAGTCATCCTATTTAGCTCAGACCATTATCTTAGGAGTGGCATGAATTGCCCACAGGAGGTGTGTAACTCCGTTGCCTCTAAAGAAAGTCTTGGTAAGAGACTTAGACATTATGCTTTCTTTCTCATTCTTCTAGTTTTATTTAGTTCACAAAGGTGGATTGGTTTATTTGCTTGTTTTCAAATGTTCAAGCTCAGTGGCATGCTTTGCTTTGTCTTAAGTCACACTTATGGTGGTTTTTACTTCACAAACACACAGTTAAATGTTGCTGGAACTGAATATAATGATGTCCTTCAATAATGGGAAACAATTTCTCTAATAGACAGCGATGAAATGTAACTTAAGTAGCTGCTGAAAATATAGGGACTGAAAAATGACTGTAATTAGCTGAACAACTTCGTTGCTGTGTGAACACTACTACCTATGTATTATTATTGTGACATCAGATTAAGGCTAAATAAAACTCTTTAGGGGAATGAGGAAACAGGTGAAAAGACTGCTTGACTGGAAAAATCAGCTTAACAGAGGAGCTGAAAGGTAATATAAAAATAGAGTTAGAAAGTTCAAAATAAGAACTGCCACCTGTCTCATATTTTGTCATAAAAAACAGTTCTGTGAAGCAAAACTGCTCTTCAGTTTCAAGAGCCACAACTCAGCCACCAGAAACCTGCCCAGGTCTGACATAAGTTTTAAATTCAGAGGCATCATTGCACAACATGGATTGAATTTGCTAAACTAGAAGAAATGTCATATTTCTTCTCATCATGGATGTTTCTGCTGGGACTTCATAAGCATGATGAATGTTTGATTAGTAATGAAGTGAAAGATTTACTCTGTAGCCATGCTAACTTAGGCTTGACATACTACAATCTCAAACCCAATTTATTTTCTGTAGGTCGCAAGTATGAGCTGTACAAGAAGCTACCCCAACTCTGTCCTCACCTTCTCTTCTTAAATGTTTGCTTTTACCCCAGGAAGCTTGGAATTTCCTCTCACAGATAAATTGCTGTACTGTGACCAAAAAACATTTAGCAAAGTTAGCAAAAAAGGTCAGCAGCTGAATAACAGACTGATATCAGTGTTTTGGGCTACATTAAGGGGGTTGTAAGTACAGAAGTACAAGTGAAGATCTTTTGGCCTATGAGAAGGGAGCCTTGCAGTCCCTAGGTTGAGAGCTGGCCAGGATGACTGGCCAGCACAGTGACCATTGCAGTGACTATGGCTCTGCTTGCCCACATCTCATGGTGCTCTGTCCTACAAACCTTAGCCCAGGCAGGTTGTGGCCTGGTTTCTCTTCACATCAAAACAGCTCTCAGTTGGGGATAAAGGCACCTAGTCAAATGCTGGGCACACAAAGGAAGAAAAAGAAGAGGAAATGTGGACAATGAAGCAAAAATGCAAGAGATTAAAAAAGAAAATATGATTAACAAGGAGTGGTATGAATAGCTCTATAGACAGAATAGGGGAAGAGAAACAAGGCTAGAGAAAGCCTTACTATCATCCATTGGCAAGAAGAGGACATATGGACAAAGAATGCAGAGTAAAACAAGCTTTCCATCACCATCAATTGATAAAAACATAGAAGTTCATCCTCAAATACAGGTTCATTTTCACTTCTGTCTGTCTTCAGCTCTTCAAATATAAGAAGTCACATGAGCTCGCTGGATTGTGGGGCCATGCAGAAAAAGAAAGGAAGAAAGGAGCCTCACTTTACAAGATAGGAAGGAATGTTACTTTGAGAAGCATCTGACAGACAATCTGAAAGATAATTTATCTTGACCTTTACTGGCCTGGGAAGAAGACTTTTAAGTAAATGTTACATGATGGGGACTGTACCTCCAGCATCCAGTGACCTCTCAAATGTGTAAATGAATTCTTTAAAGCATGTCAGCACTTTTAAAGGGAAGTGTCACCACTGATGGTCACTGATGCCTTCTGTCTTTGAAAGAGTTGCCCAGAGTCAGGAACCACTGTGTGGAAGAAGATACCACTGTATCATTTAAAGCTTGATGAAAGAACACCAGGAAAAAAAAAAAAAGTATCATGTATAGAAAAAATAATTATTTATTGAATGTTAGAAGTCCAGTGCATTAACTGCTCTTTCAGTGCAACTGGCATTTACAGGGTGCCATTAGAATTATCATGGGAATTTCAGAGTTTGGTGCAAGAGAACAAATTCTACAATTAGTATTTCACTGGCCAAGTAAGCTTGATGGAAGTTAGAGATAGTAAAATAACATCCTGAAATATTAATATATCCATTATAAATCCACGGTCCCTAAATAATGTAACCAAAATGTATATGACTTCATATAGTGTGTGATCTTTTCAGCAACACTCTCTCTGATGTGTATTTGGAAACCAATAGTTGCTTTTAGCTCCTTTTACTAGCCTAGTTTTGCCTTTTTTGTTTTATAGTTATGATTCCATCTTGAAAGATATAAACTCAGAAAAGTTCAGCTAATTTGTTTTCAACCAGATGTCATATTTTTTCTTTTTAAACCTGCAGGCTTGTTGTGACTTACCAATGAAATAATATGTGATACTCCTTCATAATATAAAATTTCAGCACAGACTGTTTATCATTACAGTCTGTCTTCTGCTTAATGGCACCCAGGTGAGTGAGGACTCCCCATCTAGACACAAAAGAATTATTTTTTTTTCCTGTGGCTTTGCTTCTTTAAGTGGTCCCAATAGTCTTGCTGTGAAATTAGAAACTATAGATCTAGCGAGAAGCTCAATTTTAAGTCCAACTTCTTCCACTTGTAAAGAAATCCAAAGAATGTTTATTTTATAGTTTCCTAAATCAAGTGACTACAGAAGTTACACCATTATCTCAGGTACTCCCATGCTGACATACTGGAAGAGAATGAAGCTGAGGACTTCTGGCAGTGCTCCCACAAGGTGGTAGCTCTCTGTTCACCAAATTTTTGCAGGTCTCTTGTAAAATTACATTTTACCTACTACAAATTGGTGTTAACCATTAGAACTTCCTCCCTTCCTTCCTGAATTTTACATAAAAATTTTCTTTATGACACCTTAGGGTAATTTAAAAAGGAGAACAGGAACAATATGTCTATTTTTACAGATCTGGAAAATTAAGGCATAAGTTACCTGGGCCGTGTATCTGAGCAGCCCAAGGCTGACCCAGGTTTCCTGAGCATTTAAGGTTTGCTTAGACAAACCTGAAAAACAGAGCTAGCAATGTTACAAATTACCACTCCTCGTCTGGAAATACACACTTCTTGTGTGAGGTGTTTATATCCATCAATACTCTACTTACAGCTCATTGATATGCCCAATAAAAATAGTTAAACTGGCACTGATGACAGCCAGGGCTGAGGGAATCATGTCTTCCAGCTCAGAATGGATCAGCATGGTTAAAAGCAGTAATTCCATGACCTGGGGCATCCAGGTCTTCCCATGCCTCAAATACCCCATAGCTTTTTATGGGGGACCCCATAGTCCCCCAGCACTGCTGTGGCATGGATAGCATGGTGCTGCATCAGTTTCCTGGCTTTTTTTTTTTTTTTTTTTTTTTTTTTTTTATCTATTAGACCTGCAAGTGTGTATTTTAGGTGGTAGACAGCCTCCTGTGTAATGACAAATTCCCTCCCTTTCTTATCCTGTCACTTCCAGCAAGATTCAGCTCCAGACATGTAAATGAAGTGTCTGGATGTAAGCTGGGCACCTTAGCTGCCAGTACAGACCATGGAGCAAAGACAGTGGAGCCTAGGCCAGAGGACAGCTTTTAAGATGGCTTTGATTGCTTCAACTTAGCCCGCTGGTGCCATCAGAGAAGTTCTTGAGTATCAGCCTCACTTCCAGCAGCCATCACAGGATGCCTGAGGTCTCCTATAGCTCCTGTGATATATCTGACAGCCCTATGGAGCCCCATTAGCTTTCACATTTGGTAAGTTTATGTGGCTCCTTTCCATTCCCTGCTCCTGGATGCAGATGCTACTGCCTACACCAGTAACTAAGTCTTTGAAATTCTCAGGGGCACAATGGAGACCACACCACTATTTTCGACCATCATGACATGAAGGTTTTGCTCCATGACAGAGTTCTGATAACCAGGGCTAAGGCAGAGACAAGAGATGATGATGTTAATGTTAATAACCCTCCCACCTCCAGTTTGAGTCCTTTTCTTCTGGCAAATTCTGCAAAGGTTCAGTACATTGTTTATTTTGTTTATCAGCTAAATAAATTACTTTTCTTAACTGGGAAGGAGTGTTCTCTTCCCTGATTGCCCCCTAAGTATCTTTGTACCTAAACACATTCAAGAATCCAGAACCCATATTCGGTCCTAAGTCTCTGACTCGTGATTCTGATATAACACCAGGAATCAAGATTTCATTAAAAATAAATAAGTAACAACAAATACACACACACACACACAAATGTCTTAGTCATGACAGGTTCTAGGCAAGGAATTTGGACATGTAATCCCCATGTAATCAGTGCAGGAATCCAAGTTAGCCAAAGATAGGTCAAACCCCAGCTAGAGAAAGTACCCTAAGGAGTGGAGGAATCATCCTGAAACAGCACCAGCATATGGGTAACATTTCAGAAACAAAAAATATTCCTTATAATGAGGAAAACATCCTCCCTTCTCAGCCTTTTCAGCAGTAACTTAGGGAATGAAACCTAGAGTTGGATGAGGACATCCTTTTTGAGTCTGGTAATGATCCCCACATTTGGTACCTCCAGGGATTCTCAGAATGATGAGGGAGCTGCCCTTCCCCTGGTCTCTTCTCCTGTCTGATCTAAATTTAGGGAAGAAGACAGGTACTGAAGTGTGGGCAGGTGTCCCAGTCATTGCTGAGGGCCTAAATCAACCATCATGGCCCTGACAAGAAGTGCCAAAGGGGTGTTCTTCAATTGTGAAGTATCCACACCTGGAAGAAAGGATGTTCAAAAGCAAACCCAGTCCTTCGGGTTCCTCAACAGAAAAGCCTTTCTGTGGGAAGAAAAGGACTTAAAGTTGTGTTCAATAGTAAAAGGTATCAAAAGACTGTTCTTGTCTCTCTGCAGGGAGAGAGGACCCCTACATACCTTTCAGGGAGGAAACAGCACATTTCTTTCTGGAAGAGGCAGTGTTGCTACCCAGAAGCTCTGGGGCCACCTGACTTGCTGCTGGGACACAGAGATGAAGTACAAAGGCTGAGGAGAAGCAAAGAGGTCTTGTAATTAGAAGGAGATTTTTAATTTAGCTGAGGACTTAGCAGCTCTTGCCCTCTGTCATAAGGAAATCTCCCCTTTTCATCTAGAGTACCAGATACCTGTCCCCTGCTACCAGTTCTGCTGTCTCTAAGGGATAGAGCACATTAAACCCATATCTGACACTCTGCAACAGGAAAGGGGTTGTATAGAGTTGTTTGAATGGAGGGAGATGTTAAGGGTCAGACGTGCTGATCTGTAAGATCACATGTGCTGCTGTGACTAGACCCCAGTTCTACCTCTACCTGCCTCCTAATGGAAGGATTGAGCAGAAGGGATTTGAGAAATCCCTCTGCATATGACTTGCAACCCGTCATCCTTAAGCTCATAAATGAGTATTCAGAAAGCTTCCACTGCTTCATGTATTTTTTATAAGTGGGTTGGGTTTCTGGGAACAATGAGACTTCAGTGAGAGGTTTCTAAGCCCAGCAACAATAAATTTTCCTTTAAAATCTTCAGATATGCTCCCTGTGATTTTTGGACTTACAAACTGAAGCAAATATTTTATTCTTTCTCTCACCAAAAAGATTGGTAAGATCTGTCTTAGTGGTCAGAGGTGGGAATATAGAGTGCAGTTGAGATCCCTGTGATATATCCTGTATGAGCCTTGACATTGTTCATGATTATTGCCTAACAAAATTTACAAGAGAAAGGACAGTAATCTGAATTTCCTTTAAAACTATTATCATTCTGCTATGGCACTAAAATTCAGCTGCCCTCAAGAAATGTTTCAATAGGAACCACCATATATAATACATGTGTTCAATTTATTATTAATGCACTTCAATCTGAATCGCAAATTCAACATGATGTCTGATTTTTTTCATGCTCATTCTGTTCTGTGTAAGCTTTTATAACATGTTCATTGCCATAGCATGAGCAACAGACCCATAGTGCATTAAGCAACGGACTTAAAAATGAGTCACACAGTCTTAGTTTCTCAGCTTTGCCCCAGAGGTCTGGACTTCTTGATAGGGCTTTTATTTAATGTGGTTTGATGCAGGTTTTTTTAACATGTTTGCATTTGCACCAGTCAAAGCAACGATCCTCAGCGTCAGAAGACATGATGGTCCTCAGGTCCCGCACACTTAGTTTAGTGGTTCAGGTTCAGCCCTCAGGAAAGGCCGATGCCCAAGACACACAGGCCTCACCTCCGTGAGAAAGTGCCAGTTGTCACTTGGCAGCTGTCAGCTTTGGTCTCAATCCCAGCACATCAGGACATTATGCAGATACTCTGGGCCCAGGTTCAAAATAAAGATTAAAGCTAGCAATTAGCTACAAATCCTGTGGCCTAATCCCATCTGCTGCACCGAGCTGTGGCGGTGGCAGCCTGTGCCTGGCTGCGGTGCCAGGCTGACAGAGCAGTGTCACCTGCATGCTGTGTAGCTAAATGGTTTCCCAAGGGCCAGGTGACTGATTCTGGGGGAAATCCATGGGTAAGGGATCCCACGGTGATGACAGTGTCCTGAATCTGATCACTCCACATACACCCCGAGGAGAGATGCAGACACTCTTGGTAGTACCTTGCCTGGATCCCTCTTTTGGACAGCAGAGTGCCATCCCAGGGGCACACAGCAACTCCACAACTGTACCAAACTAAGACCAGTCCTCATGTGTCTTTCAGCTGATGAGCCAGAATTAGGCAGTTTTGGCTGGAAAGCTAAGCTTTCTCACTAGGTACAACAGTTTCTAAAGCTTCTTGGGTCTTTTCCCAGCGCTACCCACTTGTCTCCCGTGGAGAGCAGTTTTAATAACCCTGTTACTGCCTGGTGGGGGTAACAACTGTGCTACTAGGCACACGGAGCCAGCAGGACCATTAAGCTCAGATCCACATGCTGATCACTGGGATTTCATCATGCCTGTTTGGGAAACTTGGGGAAAATTAAGAGAGAATGAAGCCAGAAGCAACTCAGATGCTACACACTTACATTTTTCTTTGTAGAAATCTAAAGAGCAGCTACATGGAAGTATAGATTTTATATGTGGTTAGCTTTTTCCAGGAGCACAGAGTATTTTGCTGTCAATGTAAATATTGCATTTATGACTGTCATCTTGTTATCTGTTTCCTGTATGTTGTTCAAAAGGCAC